CTAGCCGAAGCATCAGGGGAGAGACCAGCCGGCCCCCAGACCATATCGGCTAATCCCTTGCATCTCTGCCACGCACGGAATCGGTTGAAAAGATAACATCAAAAAGTCTGGTCTATTCGGTGTATTGTTTTCACGGCTATTGTTATGCTGATTTACTGGAAACGTGGTCCAGTGGAAAAAACTTGGACTTCCATTTCATGGCACTGAGTCAAGTCCGGTAGGGCAAAGTTAAAAGCTGGATGGGTGACCTGAAACTTATGCCTACTAAAAAAATTTGCAAGGTTTTTTTCCCGYCACTTTCAATGGATTATACAATCTTTTAGTTGAGAATTCGTCGAAAATTAAAATCAGTGACCGGCAGTCTATAATCATGTGCAATTTTTCTAGGTATCAGGAAGAGGATCGTTTATTTCTATGCCGAGGAAATGCAAACACGTCAAACTTCTCTAGAACTCAGTCCCAACCGGCAAAATCATCGTTTGGCATCATGCATTTCGTCTAACGGGCAGCGACGTGTTTCATTTGCAGCAACTCGTTTTTTATTTACAGCAAATCGTCTAACATATGCATGCATTAATTCGTTTATTTCAAGCAATTCGTCAAGCTTGATGCATGTCCCTTATTGGCCATCGTATGAACGTCGTATGYGCCTGATAAATCTTAGAGTTTTCGTAACAGCAATTTAAAGGCTTTTTATCACTTAAAATTAACTGATTGTTATTATCCAATTTTTATTAAATCTGATTGACTTATTCGGTCGCTTTGCGTTTGGTCGTTACGGCTTCAACCTTATAAACATTACAATCGAGTATCAAAAGTAGTATCGTCTTCTTTCTTAGCATTTGTTTCTTTGGCCTTGGTTTTGGAACCGTCCCAGTGGACCATCGCTTTTACCTCAATCTCAACGAAACATTTTTCTTTCCCTTCAACAGCTTTGCTTGGTAGGTTGCCTTCTTCAGTTGGTAGTCCAACTTCTTGACTTGAAAGTTCAGCCACGTTTGACARTACTGTTTGACCTGGAAGCCCAACCTTTAGACTTGGAAATTCATCTCCACTTGGAGGCTTAACTTTCTGAGTTTCTGGTTGAGCAGCTTTCTCTTCACGTGGAAGTTGAACTTCTTTGTTGCTTTGTGGATTTTCAGTTTGATCTGGAAGGTCAACCTTTTGACTTGGAAATTTATCGTCACTTGGAGGCTTAACTTTCTGAGTTTCTAGTTGAGAAGCTTGTTTTTCAAGTGGAAGTTGAACCTCTTCCTTGCTTTGTGGATCTTCAGTTTGATCGCGAAGACTTGGAAATTCATCCTCTTCCCTTGAAAGCTTCACTAGTTGAGYTTTTTCCTTTGGAAGTTGAACCTCTTGTGATTGTGTCTTTTGACTTGGAAGTTGGTCAGCCTTTTGATTTGAAAATTCACCCTCTTCTCTTGGAGGCATAACTTTCTTAGCTTCTAGTTGAGCTATTTTTTCTTTATCTGAAGGTTTACTCTCCTCATTCTTAATTTCAGCCTTTGAGACAACATGAGTTTTGTCCAATGAATATCTGCTGCTCTGAACGTCGAGGCTTGTCCGAGGTGCATCGACAAGCCTTTTTTCAGAATTTAGGATCAACTTATCAGGATTATTTGCCTCAATGGAAACTCCTTCGTGTTCTTTGATCTTCTCATTGGCAGAAGCCTTTATTTCTTTGCTGCAACTTTGTTCTTCCTCAGGCTGCAAGCATTTGACTCCTTCRATTGCACTAGCAGTGGAAAGGGAAGATGGCATATCTCCCATCTGTACAGCTTGTATGGTGTCTTCATTTTTTAGGTCATTTTCCTCTGTGCCACCACGGAGCTCATGAGCTCCTTCGATTGCACTGGCAGTGGAAAGGGAAGATGGCATAATTTTGATATCTCCCATCTTTACAGCTTGTATGTTGTCTTCATTTTTTAGGTCATCTTCCTCTGTGCCACCAYGGAGCTCATGAGCTCCTTCGATTGCACTASCAGTGGAAGGGGAAGATGGCATAATTTTGATATCTCCCATCTTTACAGCTTGTGTGGTGTCTACATGTTTTAGTTCATCTTCCTCTATGCCACCATCGAGCTCATGAGAGCTTAAACTGCCACTTTTACGTTTCAGTTGTAGATCAGTCAATTCTAATTGCAGTGTGTCCCCAAACCTCATCGGCAGTTCCAAAATAGAGGCCGGCTTCTGTTGCCACAGATAGGGGACGAGAGTTCTGGGTTGTTGTTCTTGAAGATAAATCTGTTTCTTTGGTAGGTAGTTCAGCACCTGTAAAGTAGCCTCCCTTTGATCTTGGAGATGCTCTTTCTCTGCGTTTCATGACCTTTGGGTCAAGGTGAAGGCGGCCATTACGATAAGCCGTCAAACCGTGCTGTGCAGCATAATCTAGGTAGGCGTTCCTTGCTAGTGGATGTTTTCGGAATTGACGAAGGGCGCGTCTAAAAGCCAYTGTACGCCGAAAATAAATCAATGGCATTACTGAACTAGATAGAAAGAAAAAGAAATAAGAGAAAAAKGCGAACCAACGGTTGCCCTTTATACGATCATCAACGGCAACATAGCTGTAGMCWGYMGCAGGAACTTTGCATAGCGTTTGTACTACCATGATCAGTGTGAGTGTGTTCACTGCCTTGGAACTGTTTTTACTACCTTTTCCGTGGATTCCCATTCCGTGTCGTTTATTGACTAACKTTCTACTGTTCTTTATCAATCTATTGGTCAGGAGAATGACCACAACTGAAAATGCTTGGCAACTGGGAGTAACTATTTTCCAGATTACTTGGTTTGGACCAAAAAGAAGACGCTGGTATGCTTCATCAGAAACATRTTCTTCCTCAAAAGTAAAGCTGGGAATYATGAACGCGAGTAACAAGGCTAGTAGAATGACCCATTTAGAGGCAATAAATACTTTTACATTCGTCGAGGACTTCTTGGATGTGAACTGTCTTCCATATTTAATGGCCAGAAAACAATCGACGATCTGGAAAATCTGAGAGAACAAGTCGTTGAGCAGAAAATAACGATGAAACAATATGGCATACCATATTTAGTCAACAGGAAGAACTTCATAAAAATTGGAATGTTCACGACGGAGTCCAATAACTCGACTATCGTCAGGTCTATCAAGAAGTAGTTAGATAGACGTCGAAGGCTTTTGAAACGGGCGAACAGTATAAGCATGACACCATTGTCAATTATGCCAAAAATTAACAGAATAGACAACAAACCAATTTGGGCTTTTATGCGAAATTCACTGGTCGGACCAACCATGTAATCGTCGTCTAGTTTCGGATCAGTGTAATTCGCTACCATTTACTTCACTTGATAATTAAGTACAGAAAGGTCTTAAATCAAAATCTCTTAATAGGATGGCAGATATACTTAGTACTGGTAAAAAAAACTCTTCAATATATCTTCCCTTTTGTTATTTCATCTATAGAGTTCCTAAGTAAATCTCCAGGGACATTGCTGAGACTAAGAGAACTGAGATTTAAGGGCCTGTATACTACCCTATCTAAGTCCGAGTGGTATGTGTTTTTTTTGGCTAGTGCCGTCATATCAACTTTGTAAAGATATAGATATTTTAATTCAAAGTTGTCTCTTGTTTTGAATAGTTAATTAAAGTTATACGTCATTGAACCATGTGAAATATTTAAAGTCTTCCGTGTAGCTTATACTTTTGGTTAATTATTCAACTTGGTGTGAGGAGATTACTAAAGGCGTGATACCGTAGCATTTAAAAACACTAACGCCTATTTTTATGGAGATCTTGATTTGTTGGAACGAATATCCGACTTCCATTGTCAAAAACGGAAAGAAAATTTCTTTTATCAGCTTGGATCTTTGGAGGATAATTAAACTTGGAGGAAAAGACGAGGCGATTTCAGAACAAGGCAAGGAAATCAACATTCAGTACTTACCTTTATCACGGCCGAGAGTAGTACGGTCGCCATCCCAAACTCATGCACCCTATTTTATTTAAGAAGTAATATATGAAATCTTCGAGCTCGCTTAACCGCGACTTTTCAATTATCTTTGGGAAAGAAAATCAAATCCGCCACTGAGTGAAACATCAGTTGGTGTCCTGAGAGGTTCTCTCTGCCTCATGAGATGCGACTATTTCTCGAGTTGTATTTTTAACTTCTGTCTATTTTCCATCCTCTTTCTTTGACAGCAAAAGAATGCATTTAAAAGCAGAGACGGTTTTCACATCATATTCCTTCGATAAAAGGAATTTTGAAGGACAGTAAATCCTTTTTCTTAAATCTTGTAAATCTTGGTGTGATGTGCCGCCATTTTCTTGTCCTCTGGCAAAAAAGGCGGGAAAACATCGAGAGATTTGATTGGCTGAAAGACTTTGATTCACTTTGCAAGTGATTTTTAAGATCCTAAATRTCTCTAAATTAATCATAAATATGCTACTAAATAAAATAGCTATCATTTATCAAAGTATTTGATCCAGCTATAAACAAAACAGTTAAAATTCAGAAATTGGGAAAAAATTTAGTCGCGCCTCAAAAATTGTATTAAAGCGTTTTTATAGCTTTTCTGTTTATTTGCGTTATAGACTATCATGATCTCAAAAACCTAATACTTCATGTTATATTCAATAAAGTTATTATTTATCCCTTTCTCCGTTTATGTAGTGGGTTCCCTGTGTAAGAACGCAAGCGTGACGTAGTTTATTTCAGGCCCGGTTCCCCTCGTTCTAATCAAATCCAAGATGGCGGGCATTCAAGCTTTGGTCAATGCTTATGGCGAGAACAGTGATTCAGAAGGAAATGACAGCCCTAATGAAGAAATAACTGAAGATCATACAGCTCACCTCAAACCTGGATCCTCTATTGATAGTCTGAAGTCAAAATTTCAATTGGATTGCGCTCCGACAGTTATAAATAAGGTTAGAAAAAAATTGAAATCGTAACGTGCAAAGAACGTCAATAGTTGCACGTTTTATGAAAAAACTTTGGGAAAATAATTTTGCAAACTTATATAGATTGCTTTATCTTATTCTAAGTTGTGACCTTCAAAAAATAGCGTGTCCTTTACTAGTTGGACTCAGAGAGCAAACCCTTTCTACAATTCATGATTGTCAAATTTATTTCTTTATTTTACAGAAAGATATTGGAACGACAAGAAAAGTTGAAAAGTCTTCAAAAGAAATCCTGTATAATGCTAAATATGAGGAGTTGTTTGCCCCTGAGGTAAGCGAAGCTAAGGACTTAAAAAACAGTTGTTATTATATGCAGTAGCTTCARTGTTATGCATGCTTGGATTGGTCAATAACTGTGCTATATGTGAAGCATGGTTGTTTATTCCATCCATGCATGCAGCAGTTTTAATTAAATTAGTTGACTCTGGCTTATTTTTTTAAACAAATTGCAGGGCTTAAAGTAAAAGCCAGACATCAGGCAATGTCCAGCCAGAACTGGGACTTGTGCAGTCAAATCTTTGCCTTACTGGTCATTTTGGCCAGTACCATTTAACCAGAAATTAGTATGACTAAGCTAATTTGGCTTGTGTTCATGACCAGAGACTGATCGACCATTATTTTAAGCCATGAAATCTCTGATCTCTAAAACATCTAGAATGCAATTTGTCTAGGAAAATATGCCAGAGCCAACTAATCTAATCAAAATTACCATGGATCCTGGTTGCAATTTTAACTCGCAGGTTTTTTGTTTCTATATAATATGTATTTTCTAATTATTTTCTTTAGGTTGGACCTCAAAATCCTAACAAGACACGTCAACAAAATGCAGCAAAAAACATGTTGTCAGGTTTGTTGTTGTATTCTCATTTTTGTTGCGTTGTCTGTGTCGTTTTCTGGAGTTACAGAGCTCAAAATGATGGCTGATCCATGGACAAAGTCTGTCCTAAACTGACCTTTCTTCCAATCATCTGTAGTTTTTAACATAAGTATTTTAGTTCTTTTTATTTATTGCTATGTATTTTGAAATGAGTCGTAAAGCTCTAATGGAACTTAGAAATTAGGGCTATATGAATTTTACATATTATTTATCATTATTTATATTTTACTGTTAAAAACTATTGTCACAGGTTATGTAGAAGAGTCACACATGAGTGATTTCACCTTTGAAAACCAGAGAAAAACCTTTACTAGTTATGGTAAGTATGTAAGATTAGACTATGAATAGACTAGTGGCTTTCAAAATTACAGGGCTCGAAATAGCAGCCTTCCAATGGCCTAATGATTGGCCAAATTTCAAGTTTTGCAGGTGAAAATAACAATGCACTGCCAAATGAATAATAAAATGACATGCAAAATTTACTGGAATGACCTCCTATTAGCATGCTCCTTTACTATGGCAGGCTGCAATTGTTTTCTGTTTCGAGCCCTGAACTACTGTCCAGTTGAAAGTCAATGCGAAGATGCAATTACAAAAGCAGCAGCACTGGGACTGGACTGGCTGTGAAATTGAATAGTTTGATATCCTATTGAACCATTCTAGGTTATGCTTTGGATCCAAGTGCAGACAATAATCCAGCAGCTGGGTCAAGGTCAGTAAGGTCAAAACAACTGTCGTCTTATACAGGGCTTGAAAAAATGGCTGGTAATTAGAAAATCTCTGGCCAGAATTGACAACTCTTAAAACTCTTAAGCGTATGTGAGCTTAGCCTCTTTTCTGAAGTCGGTAAACAAAAGCAGAAATTAGAATAACAAAACAAGCAACACTTGGATTTGAGGCTTAGCTCGCATGCAATAAAGTTTTAAGAGTCGTCAATATGGACCTTGTCCATAATAAATAAAGCACAGTTCTTGACCAATCAGATTGTGCATACAATCTAAGCTACATGTTCAATACARTGTCAAAAAATTATATACACAATAAATAAAAGCAAAAGGTGATGCATGTATATTTTATATCTGGTTTCTAGTTTTGTTGGAGACATTGAAAAATGCAATGAACTGAAAGGAGGAACAGTATTTGAGAGCAGTAAAGTACGAACAGGAGATAAAAGAAAAAGAGAAGGTCCTGGAGATCCTGGGGACATTGAGGGCTACAAGGGACCATGGGCACCTTTTATTGATGAGTCTAAGAGCTCCAAGCCATCTGAGGTACAGAAATTTATGTTTTTAGTACTACATGTATCAGTCTAAACCTACTATTGGTCTTTCACTAATTCTGTGCTCTGATAGGCTGAGATACTAGTGGTATATTGGTGATAGATAAGTAGTGAAAAGTGCCAGCTTTGAAAACAAAAACAATGGTGGCCAACTTTTGTTTTCATCCTAATTGCAACATTTTTTGTATCCATTTATTTGACTGATCAATAAGTTACTTTATGCTAAAACAATGAGACCTCTCATTGTCATTGTCTACGAGTCAGTAGCCCATTTGGCCTTCCACTTCATTGTCTATTGACTCGTAGACCATTTGGGCTTTAAGTCTAATTGTTAAACAGACAGGGCAATTGCCCTATTTCACTATGACATCACTGCTTGTTTATGCAGGGGATAGAATCGCCAAATCCATAGAAAATTCAACAAAATTTGCTCCTAACGAAACAGTTTAATCTAAAATGGCCTGGTTTTCAGATATAATATGTGTTAATATGTACTAAAAAATATTCTGAGTGTTTGCTGGCTATTCTACTTCTCTTCGTGGATTGATACAGGTTTTAAAACAATTTTTGGTGAATTTGTGTTGATTTGACCCCCTCCGACGACCATGATCCTTTGCGTTTAAACAATAGATTGTYGAAGATTGTTTTGATGTGATGTCATAGTGAAATAGGGCAATTGAATAAGTCTGTAGATTGGTATTTTGAGGGGATTGTGATAATTATCGTAAAACAAAGCCATCTCTGAATTGCAGGAGGAAGCTGAAAAGCTTGAGGAGTTTGAGTTAGCCAAGCAGAAAAGAAGCAAGAAAGAAGAAATCAAAAGTGTTGAAGAGAAAAGTACTTTGCATGGTAAGTTTGGTCTGGCACTTGGTTTCCATTTCCAGGGCTGAAAATAATGGCTGGGCATTGTATAATGTCTATTCAGAGCTGGGACTCGTCCAGTCAAATCATTGCTTTGCCGGTCATTTTGACTAGTAACATTAAGCCAGAAATGAGATGTGACTATGCTAAAATTAATTTTGGCCAGTGATAATGAGCGGCATCTTGATAGGTCATTATTTTAAACCTTGATCTGGGACTTATATTTTTTCTGAGTTACTTATGTCAGCTAACATCGTTTGTGTTTTGAACAGTTAAAGATGCTGTTGATTACCAGGGACGTTCATATCTACACATACCTAAAGATCTTGATGTCAGACTAGATACCGACGAACCACCAGAGAGGTGTTATCTACCCAAGAAACACATTCATACTTGGTAAGTTATCGTCGTCATCAGCACCATCATCAGCAGCAGCACCATTGTCATCACCATCATCATCATTAACACCATCATCATAACCATCAGTACCATCACCATCATCAGCAGCACCATCATCAGCAACATTATTAGCACCACTATCATCATCACCATCATCACYATTACCATCATCATCACCATTACCATCGTCATMACCATCATCACTAGCACCATCATCGTTACCATCACCATCAGCAGCACCATCATCAGCATCATTATCATTAGCACCACCATGATCATCACCATTACCATCATCACTATTACCATCATCATCACCTTTACCATCAATGTCACCATTGCCATCATCAGCACCATCATCTATATTGAGCATACATGCATCACTACCATTGCCAAATACATGTATCACACCATTTTGCAGTAAGTAATATTTAATAATAATATTTAATTTTCTTATTTCGTTTTTTCAGGACTGGTCATACCAAAGGTGTTTCCGCCGTCCGTCTCTTCCCAGTATCAGGTCATCTTCTCCTGTCTTGTAGTATGGATTGTAAAGTCAAGGTAAGCATTTTATTCTAAAATTCCCTTCCACACTTGCCTAATCGCCTAAGCAACTGCTCATCTTTTATTTGGGAGGAAATCTGACCCCCCTCTTCATTGTTGTGTAAAAAATAGCCCCTCCTTCTTTTCCATTCTGTTTATTATAAACATGTTGTGTGACTCAGATCTTTTGTGAAACCCACCCACTTGAGCTGGATTTATTCAATGATCCCCCAGAAATCTCATCATCCCTTCCTGGCGAACATGGGTAAAGAATGAACATTCCCTAAAGCCCACCATAATCTTGCATCATTGACTATGGTAACATTAGATAGTATTAAYGATATGGTGTTGATTTATAATGTATATTTCAGCTGTGGGAGRTCTATAACAACAGGAGGTGTCTTAGAACGTTTACAGGTGGGTGTCACTGAGGTAAAAGAGCCAGCCTGTACCGCTTGGAATGAGTTACATGATTGGATTAAAAAACGATAGATTGGTCATCCAAACAATAGCACTAAACCTAACCTTACAAAAGCGGTACTGTAAATAGGGAGCAATAAAAATCCAGCTTTTGAGCGGTATTGGATTACTCTGGTAAAATGAAGAAATAGAAAACCCGCGCTTGTGCTGTTTGCAGTTATAAAGCACCTACAAATACCTATAAATTCCAAATTGTCATTGAGATTGGGCAATTTCCTGTACTTATTGGCCTAAAAACTGTTCTTTTTCTTAACAGGACATAATAAGGCAGTAAGGGATATCTGTTTCAACAACAGTGGATCTCAATTCCTTACAGCAGCKTACGACAGATATGTCAAACTATGGGACACTGAGACAGGTATGGTATGGTGAACTTGGAATAAAGATTTTAAGACAGCATTTATCTTTTCCATATGACCAGTGTCTGAGAATGCTAGTATTGTATGTGTAGTACCAGAAAATATCCATACCTCCCCCACAGAGGGGTATTGGAATTTCCAAGGGGTAGGAATTGCCTTCATAGGTTACCAGTAACCCAAATATCTTTTTGCTCAAGCAAATCTTCATGTAGTATTACTACATTTTGTGTTCATCTTTAGGTGAATGCATTGGACGGTTCACCAACAGAAAGATTCCATACTGTGTCAAGTTTAACCCAGATGAGGTGAATTAAATCTTCATCTAAATCTTCATTATTTTTCGTTTTGTTTTTTTGCACTTTGATGTTTATGATCTTTTTTTTGTATCTTTTTTTGTGCAGGACAAGCAGCACTTGTTTGTGTGCGGAACTTCTGACAAGAAGATTCTAACGGTAGGATCAGTGATTCCCTTAATACCTTCATCAAAACCCTGAAACAACCTCTGGG